TCTTTTTCATCGGTATAGCTGTAAGCCCCCCTCTAAGATACGATAGAATAGAAACCATCTTCCTAGTCGGGATATTGTTATCGTTCAGAGTCTTGATAAGTCCTTTTTCCATTTCTGTCATATACTTGTGACCAGAAAATAGCTGATCCCTGTCTCCAGGGATAGCTCATGATTATGCTCCAAATCAAGAGTTTTAACCTTCCATATAGCTCCTTCTTCTTTCACCATCATAACACAAGGATAATCTGACTTCTGTTGAACATTTGTTTTCCTTCTTCTTACTGGTTTCTTTCCAACATCCTTGTCTACTTCAGCTTCTTCTTGCTCTAAACACTTTGGTTCCTTTTCTTTTCCTTGACGAGTGCATCTCATTGTTACTTTGACTACCTCATCATTTCTCTTCTTACTTTGAGTTCTTGTTGTATGTGTTATGGCAACTTGAAATCCAGCTAGGAACGCATAGAAGTTGAAGAAATGGTGAGCATCATCCCTACTTTTAAATTCCATCGATAGTTGTGGGGTGTACTTGCTGTTGATTGGTGCATTGTTGCCTTCAAATGCTGCAACCTGCTCATTTTTGATGAATTCTTCAATCTCTTCCTCTGTCAGTTCCTGGCTGCCATTTACATGTTCATTATCATCTGTTACTGTTGATGTAATATCTGAACTTGTTGGTTCTACTGCTATGATCCTCAAGTCATTTTCTCCCATTGTTGTTTGGTCATCTTGATTTTCATGCTACACCTGTAAATATATTAGCAGCAGTCAATTTCTGAGTAATGCGATTTATAATAAAATATTTTTTTTTCAGTGTGGACTGAAATAGTTGAAGAGATCATTTTTATGTACCTCATCAATGTCCATGTTATTGAATATATCAGTTTGCCAATGGTATTGTTGAATTTCAGATCTATCATCATCAGCTATGCTTATCGTTGCTCCATCATCATCAGCGACGATTGCCATTTCTCCTTCCTATTTTTGCAAAGATAAGTTTTACTTTGATGCCAGTACATATTTGTATTGGTTATAAATGTAATCAAACTGGCTCAACTGTCTGTATGTACCTCATATGACAGCCTTGAGTCTGATATTGACCAGTCAGTTTGTGGTCCAAAGATTCCATCTAGATCTTCAAGTCTCATATTCTGTTTTATTTGTTTGATAATGAGAATGGTTACCATTTATAATATAACACAACTAGTCTTGTTGCTGCACAGTTTATAATGAAGCCTTGAAATTAAAGTACTGTTATGCTGAAATTACATTGCACATATGTGTGTAATTTACATATGTGTGAATTATAATTTTTGTGTACTGGTATTATAAAATTTTACCTGCGTATTCCAGTCAGTTTGATCATCTTCCTGAGAGTTCCTGATCTGTTCCATCATAAGTTCAGTGTAGCCTCCCTGCATTGAAATATATTCTAGTCGAAAAACAACCTTCTTATGTTGGCATTTTTTTGATTCTAAGCAATGATTTTGCTCACCTTTTTGTATCTGTAGGTATTTGAAAGGTCACTGGAATAATTTGTGCCTGCAAATATTTGGTAAGGAGCTGACTGCACTTCCTTAATTGCTTCTTGTGATTTCACTGATGTTGGATAATCATCACATCTACTTGTTGTGACATACATATTATTCTGCTTCATAAAAAAAGCAAGCAGATGAGTACTTACATAGTTTTTCATTGCATCATTGAATTGTGTTTCTTACCTCAAATAGTTGATCAAACTCGACTGGTGCTTGTATTAGTTGCATAAGGGAAGCAATTGAAACCTGCAAGAAAATGAAGAAGTCATTAGTTCTCATTTATTTATTGTTTGTGTCAACTGTTTTGAATTAGGAGTAATTTTACATCATTGTTGCTTTCTTCTTAGCGAATCATATCCTTATAATTGTGAATCGGATATTGTGCCTCTGACATTTCCTGCAGCCTTGTTCTTCTTTCTAGATTCATGTTCTGTTAAAACATCCAGATTTCATATTTTGCCAGTTAGAAGGTTTGTCATCATTACATATTCCATGCATCTAACACACAGTAGGGCTATTGTAAGTAGTTAGAATCAGCTATAAATAGGAAGCATAGTTTGTAGTGTTATTCATGCTACCATCATTGGCTTGCATATTTGTTTTTGAACACAATAAATGTATAGCACTAAAGGAATTACTAACTAAACTTGTAGAAGCTGTGGCGGATGCTAACAAAGCAATTGAACTTGATCCTACGATGCATAAAGCCTACTACCGGAAATGGTTAGTGGCACTCTTCTTTTTTCAATAAAAGTTATACATGAACACTCCCATAATTCCATGTGCTACATTTTTGTCTATGTACTAAGGTTTACTCGTCTATTGAAGGAATGCGAAGAGCGCATCGCTGGTGATCAAAATAAACTTCAGCTAGTGTTAACAAGAAATAACAGTGAGCCCACACCAAAATTTTGTCCTTGTCCTTTCATAGAAAAAAAATTGTCTCTTGTGATTTGTGGTAACACATCTTTCAACTTTGTTACTTGTGATTTGTGCCGACACACATCTCATTTTTGTCCTTATCATTTGTGCTAACACATGTTGAAGTTTATCAATTGTGATTTGTGGCATGTTAATTGTGAATGTTTTTGCTCTCAGCGGTGAAGCTAGAAGATTGACATGGTCCACTCAGCTGTGTATAGCCTTGGATAAGTCTTTTTGAGTTAGAGTGAGACGTGCACATTTTTGTACTGATCCTGAGATATCATTCAGCTATATATTAGGTCTTGATTCTGTACATATACTGTAGAATAGTAGGAGCTCTCATATATTTTAACTGTGTGTTGCATATAGTGTATAAGAAGGGTACGTTTAGTATCCATTTCTTCATTGCACATTTATAAGTAGTAAATTGCATACTTCATTTTTAGCAATTATGGTGCCCAACATGTGCAATATGTAGTCCTGATGAGAAATAATATTGCTCTAACGTGGTTCAGTTACATGGTAGCCTGCTTACTTTTGGTAGCCTCATCTTGTCTTCAGTAGCTCATGTGTTGTTCTTGTTCTGAGCTTAAATGTAGATCATCAGTTACATGGTAGAACATGTCGTGGGTACAAGCTCATTTGGGATTCTCTTCCAGGTATGGTGTGCTTGGTTGTGGGGGCTCTTCTTTTGTAGGTGCAACATATATTGAATTCGTGGGGCTTGAATTATTTATGATTTGTGGCAACACATTTCAGTATTTTGTCTATCATACTATAGATTTGCTGAGGCACTTATGGATTTGCTCTCCCTAGCAACTTATGCCATGTGCTGGTTTTTCTGTATGTATGATCGAAAGGGTCTCCCGAGCCATTTCTGTGACACTTACATACTGAAGCAAGACACCATTATCACCTTGCTAGATGAGAAGGATGAAGAATTCGACACCAACTACCTTGCCTACAAGAAGGGGCTAAGTGGCGGATGGGCTGGTTTTGCACTATGCCATAAGGGAAGTGTTTCTCTACGACCTCGTGAGGTTTGTAGCTTTTGCTGGAATCTAAAAATGTTGCTTTAGCGACGAGGAAACCTATTTTGTTTGGCTTCCTTTCATCCTTCAACCTAATATATCTAGATGAAGTAATATGTAGATGAAGTAATTGGTGTGACAGGAAGATAATCTCTCTTCTTGCCTTGTCGTCAAATGTCAGATGCATTAGGTACATTAGTCTTCTGATTAGTGTGAACATAGGATAACAGGATCAGGGTAATATATCAGGCACCTGTGATTTAGGGTTTTGCATATATAAACCCATGTCTTCATCTAAAAAAAATCAACCTGATCCAGATAGTACTTATTGTCTTTCAGTTATGAAGCAGATGGCATGGCTAAAGATTTCATGCCTCTCTATTCAGTAAGAGGTAATCACTCTTCATTCTATGTTGATGTTGCTTTTCATACTTGTTTTCTGTTACTAAGGTGTAAGTCAACCTATAGCTAGCACCTTGCCTTCAAGACAAGGGTCAGATACAGAATATAAATTTATTTATGATTTCTAGCTGCTGAGTCTCAATAAAAAGGTCAAGAGTGGAAAATTTAAATAACTTTAGAGAAACAAAACAAAAACACATATAAGCTTCACTTTACCTTTTTTCAAAAATGCTTGTTTAATCAGTATAATTACATTAGCAGCAAATACCAGTTGCAGTATTTGAAATATGCAATTTGTTTTTAGGTATTCTGTATTTTTATTTCCTGAGTTCCTTAATTTGTGAATCTGTATTTCTGATTTCTGAATTTGGTTGCAGCAAATACTACAATCTTAGATTACATCTTTACGAGGAAGTCGGTGTGCTTACCTTGGCTGTTGAGGTTAGTGGTTCCTCTTGAATGTGTTGGTTGGTTGCCCCTTTTCTCTGGTCTGCTTGCCCCCACGCAGAGGAGATCTTCATCTTTGATCTGCCGGTTGTTTTCTCCTTTTTCCTGTTCTGATCTGATCTCATCTCCACATAGAGCAGTGCTTTGCTTGCCCCCACGAAGAGATCTGATCTCCACGGAGGGCAGAGGCTTTCCCCTATGCCCCCACGAAGAGATCTGATCTCCACGAAGAGGCTTCCCCACAAAGAGATCTGATCTCATCTCTGTCTTCTTAGTTATTGGGCTCTGGGCTGAACTAGGCCTCTCTGTCTTCTTAGTTAGTGGGCCGCTCTAGCATGTCTTTATTGGGCTGAACAACTGTTGTGGGCCTTGTTTGCCTGATGGAATTTGTGTGTTGCATTCTCTTAGAACACATGTTTTTTTCCCGTGTTTCAATTCATGTGTTTCTTAGCCATCTAACAATCATGTGCTAACTAGTCCAAAAACACATGGTTTTTTCTATGTTGAAATCTGTGTGTTTTTCATACAACCAACAACCATGTGTTGATTTATGTTAAAACACACGTGTGTACAGTAGACAGACTCTAAAATTATGCTTATTTTCCGTTCGCACTAACAATTTCAACACACACCGAAGAAGAGCAAAAAGAGAGTGTGATTGCTAATTGTGCCCCGCGGCCTTGGTGGTGAGCCCGAATCCGAACGGGAACAACGCGTCGTACCGCTTGTCGCCGTAGTTCATGGGCAGCTGGTCCACGGACTTGAACCACGTCCGCGGCAGCTTCCCCGTGAACCCGTAGTCCCCGAACAGCACGTCGGTGATGCCCAGCGCCTCCGTGCCGGGCAGCCACGCCGCGACGAGCGCGTCCATGTAGTCCACGTACGGCTGCAGCACAAGCGGGCGGCCCGACACGACGAGCACGACGCACTTGACGAGCCCGCACACGTCCTTGATCACCTCGGTCCCCGGCGACGGGATGGTCAGGTTCTTGTTGTCGCCGGCCGTCTCGGCGTACGGCGGCTCGCCCACCGCCACCACGGCGTACTCGTAGTCGTTGGCGCTCTTGCTCAGGTCGTCCTTGTCCGGGCGCTCCACGTAGTCCACCGTCGTCTTCTTGTCCACCGCCTTCTTGATGGCCTCCAGGATCGTGGTGCCGACGCCGGTGAGGTTGTTGCCGCTCTCGCCCTGCCACGTGATGGTCCAGCCGCCGCACTGGCTGCCCAGGTCGTGGGCGTGGCTGCCGGCGACGAGGACCTTCTTGGCCTTCTTGTCCAGCGGCAGCATCGGCTTCGTCTGCCCCTTCTTGCTGTTCTTGAGCAGCACGAGCGACTTGCGGACGGCCTCCCGCGCGAGCGCCCGGTGCTCCTGCGCGCCGAGCTCCTTGGTGAGGCGCGGGTCCGGGAACGGGTCCTCGAAGAGGCCCATGGTGAACTTGACCCGGAGGATCCGGCTGACGGCGTCGTTGATGCGGTCCAGCATGATCTGCCCCTGCTTCACCTGCTTGATCAGGTCGGCGACGAACTCCGGGTAGTCGTACGGGATCATCACCATGTCGATGCCGGCGTGGATCGTCTCCTTGATGGAGTGGTAGTAGTGCTGGTGCGGCGGGTTCGTGATGCGGTCCACAGCCTGCCAGTCCGTGATCACAAAGCCCTGCAGTAATGCTATTACGTTAATAAGGAGTACTGATATGATCCAAGTGCAGCACTAGTTGAGCATGCAATGCAAATGTACTGACAGACAGGGGCACGTTTGGTTTGTTCATCAGACAGACACAGACACAGACACTGACCCTGAAGTCCATCTTGTTCTTGAGCGTGTCGGTGATGAGGAACTTGTTCTCGTGCATCTTGACCCCGTTCCAGCTGGAGTAGGAGATCATGATGGAGGAGATGCCCTTGATAACGGCGTTGTCGTAGGGCGGCATGTGGATCCGCATCAGGTCGTGGAAGCTAAGCGCCGTGTTGTTCTCGTTGATGCCCCGGGTGGTGCCGCCGTCGCCGACGAAGTGCTTGGCGCACCCGGCCACCTTCTTGGACCCGCCGACGAAGGGGACGCCCTTGGGGTGCTTCGCGGGGACGTCGCCCTGCAGGCCGGTCACCATGTTGGAGGTCATGAGCTGCACCAGCCTCGTGTCCTCGCTGAAGCTCTCGTAGCACCGACCCCACCTCGGGTCGCGGCACACCTGCGTGCGTGCAGAAAACACACCAGAACGACGATCAGTATCACATTGCTTGGCACATTCATTCATCTTTCGGCTTATCAGTTCAGAAAGACAGAAATAGCAGTAGTAACGTACCGCGACGCATGGCGCGAAAGTGTAGGGGATGCCGGTGGCCCTGGTCTCGTGCGCCGTGGCCTCCCCGATCCGCTTCACGAGGTGGGGGTCCCTGGTGGCGCCGAGGCCGACGTTGTGGGGGAAGATGGTGGCGTTGTACACGTCGTTGTTGCCGTGCACGGCGTCGATGCCGTAGATGATGGGGATGCCGAGCCGGGTCTTGAGCGCCGCCTTCTGCATCTTGGTCACCATCTTCTGCCACACTGACGCCGACGCCTTCTCCGCCGGCACGCTGCCGCCGCCGCTGAGCACGCTACCTGCACACGCACCGCCGCCATGCACGCATCGCATTAGTGAGTTAGTATTACGGCAGAACAAGGATCCTATCGCCGCCGGCCGGCCGCCCGACCGGCCGGTGACGACGAGACGATCGACTACTGACCAACGAAGTACTTCTCGATGACTTCGGCGGTCGCGTTGGCCCTCTCGATCTGCGACATCTGGCCGATCTTCTCCTCGAGCGTCATCCGGCTGAGGAGGTCCTGCACGCGCTCATTGATGGGCTGCTTCGCGTCCTTGTACTTGACGTACTCCGCCGCCAACGCCGCCGACGGCAGGAGGAGGAAAGCCAAGACTAGGCACGCGACCGCCGTGGCCGCCGTCGAGCGCGTCATCGCCGTCGTCACAGCAACCTTCGTGGATTCAGTCAGTTGATCTCCTGCATTTAGAATTTTATTAGATCGAAAAGGAGCGGCTATGTAGGTAGGCGAAGAAACTGAAGATCTAGTGCTCTGGACTTACCGGTTTGAGCAGAGAGTGACGAAGAGGAGCCGCTATCAAGTGACTGGATTTTATAGAGACTGGCAGGACGTACGCGATCAGTGCATGTCGTTTCCACGATGCGGTTTGTATGTAACAGACTCGAGACCCGATCTGATGGATCCCCGGGTCATCGTGTGGAGGATCGGGGCGAAGACCACAGGGTTTTCCGTTGGATTGGCTCTGCATGAGTGCGCGCGTGTGTAGGTGTTTGACTGAAGCGCATGGCCAATCGTACGAGTGGCCGCGGATCCTATCTCAACTGAACAGTGCAGGATATCTTGCGACAGGAGATGCAGAAATTGGTCGTATCTACTCTCGTCAAAGCAGGTTAGTCTGTACATCAAACTGACGGTCCACGATAGCAAAAAAAAAAATTTACGGCGTTGATTTCTCGATCTGTGGTTCACTTTTACCCCACCATCGCTTTACTGCAGCATACTACGTGTCCATGTGTGATTGGTTAGAGGAGAAAATATCTCCCTCACCTGCCTCCAACTCCGTTTTTTTCCCCTTTCTCTCTCTCTCCTTCCCTTCTGAGGCAACGACGGGCGCGAGGCGACGGCGTCTGTGCAGGCGTGCAGCACCGGCGGCAGCGGCCACTGGCCCCCTCCGCGCGAGCTCCTGCAGACGGTCGGCGCGGCTCTGCTTTCCCTCGATCCGTCCGCTCGATGGTTTACTCCCCCCTCTCTATCCTTACTCTATTTGATTTTATCCTGCATCTATTGTTCTAAGATCAATTCCACCCTAGGTCTACTATTCTCCCCCTTTTCTCTTACCAATCTAACTGCGATTTTTTAGTTTTGTAGGTTGCGACCTGCCGGGTTCCACTGGATTTTGAGAGCAGGCAGGTATTATGCAATAGACCTGAGCACATGACCATGTCTATGATATTTATTTGATTTCTTGGTGTAGGATAAAGATTGAGACCATGTACCAATGGTTTTTGATTTATTGTTTTCATTTTGGTCATGTACAGTGATGGATACAGTTTCCTATTCCTGGTATGTTTTGCTTTGAGACAAATTGCTAGTGCTGTGATGATTACAGCATAAATTATGCTTGATGTTTCATGCAATTACCATGGTCTACCTTTTCACATTACATCTCTTTCTTTTTTTTGATGATTGAGGCAATGCTCACGACTGAACCAACCATCATGGCCAAAGTTGACACTACCTTTGTACCCGTTCGATAGTTAAAGCAATGCTCAATGGTTGCATTTGTTTTCGTGCATTTCTTCCTACCTCTTCTGCTTTGTGTAGTTTCTAGGCACCAAAGACATGTACTGTTTATTGCATGTGATGATTTCTTCCTTTGTCTAATTTGATCGTTGCCAAGTTCAAGATGTAAGAATTAATTTTGCACTTTCACCCTATTTGGTGGGGATGATCCATCAGAGAGAAAAATGTAGATGAACAGCAACATCAACCATCTAAAAAATGTTGAGCAAGCAGTTGGCTGCATGATCACCTCATGGATAATAACACATAATAATGCGGTATCTATTTTTTTGAGCCTTTCTGTTTGATTAATGATTTCAGGTAATGCTTAGGAATTGATAGAAGCATCTTTTGAACAATTAAGCATCTTGTGGCACTTAGGGTGCCGAGGGGAAGATGGATATATGGAATTCCTTTTTAGGGTTGTAAAATCATTTATAGGTTCTGTTTTGTCTACACCATCTTTGTTGCCATGTTCCAATCTGAAACTAAAATTAACATATTTTCTCTTCTAATTTTTATGTTGCTTGGTGGTTCAAGGGCCTAAATTAAAAGCATAAAAGATATTTCCTGCCAATTTTTAGTTGCAGTATGAGAAGACCATAGAAGATGTTGATGAACAACCAGTTTGAAAGTGATATTTGAATATCTGATGATCTTTTTCCAAGCTACATTCTAGGTGATGAAAGCTGACTGGCTGCTGGTTTCTCTTTTTGCCTCTCATTGTTCATGTCGTGATCATGACTGGCTGCTGATTTCTCTTTTTGGCTCTCATTGCTGATGCTGTCATATTAGTAGAATTAAAGTGTAAGATTAAAAAGTATCAGTACACTTGTTTATGTTATAGATTGATCTAACATATTTCATCATATTATCATGTGTTACCTTGCCATGCTTTGGTGATGCTTACAACATGTCTCATCTATTTTGCAAAATTAAAATGCGAGAATAGAATAGTCTCAGTAAAAAAAATTCACTGATGAGATATTTTGTTGCCAGTCCATAACAGTGGCTGATTTGTGGTTCAATGCTTCCTATTAGGCACAACTCTAGTTGCCTTTGCTATCGGTGGTTCTGCAATCAACTATACATACTTGCCAATCTTGTAAGGTAATTATTCTACATCTTGCTACCACGTACCAGTTGTTTGCACATACTAGGGAAAGGAAGGTGGCATCATTTATGTTGCTTTCTTCCCCTATCATAGTATTATTTTTTCTGAAATTTTTGTGGCATTCTTTTTCTATCGTGGCACTGCGCATTAACCTTGAAACCATAATATCTTCTCCTTTGATAGAGGTACTACAAGTAAAAAAAGGTAGTAATATGACTCAGCGTTATAATAAAACTGTATCCATATACATGGAAATATGCCTCTAGATTTTTGTCTATGATATATGGTACCTCTTGTGTTTTTGCATTCTTCTGTGTTGTTGTTGGCGCTAGTGTGGATGTTGATTTTCCATATATCAGTTTAGTAAAGTCTATTTCAGTTGGACCCTTTCAATGATTCAGTAGGATGGCAACAATGAGACACCAATGAGAATGCATAGCCATGTTGATTTAAATTATGAATCTATATAAAAATTCTCTCTCCATCAGTTTTATTGTCCATAGACACCACATAATGGTAATTGTCGTCACTGTTTAACATCAAAACATCAGATTGCTTTGATTTTTTTAAAAGGTGTTGTTTTGCACGACCATTTGCAAAACTATCTTCTACTATTTTTTCGTTGTGCTGTTTTCCTTGCCTGCATACATCCCATATGTATCATCTTTACAATATCAGTTAACAAAAATGTATGGCCTCCCATTATATTATCTTTATAATACATGCCTACTTGAGATTCCTTCATAGTGACAGGTTCTCTTCTAATTTCTATTTTACACCTCAGCATAGTGCCTAGAATTATGTAGCAACAATTATCTATACCTAAACTTTTATGAGCTCCAGATCACTACGGACTAATATGATAGTTACCTCAATGCTCATAAACATTTCTGCTCCTATTTTGCACAGAAACCAAAAGAAGCTATATGTGAATCATGGAAAAGATCTCTGTAGCCCTGCATCTGTAGGTTTAGCAAGGGCGGTGCTACTCTGCTACAAAAAAATGGCAGATGCTTCATATTCCAAACCGTATAGGGTGCAGTACTAGGATGACAAGCAAAGCAACATCCCCAATTCTCCACGATCTGCACAAAAGCAGCCTCCCAATTAGGTACTTATGTGCATTTTTTTAGCCACCTCTCTCTATGAACATGAATTCACAGTCTTCTAACATAATGCAAACAGCCACATTAATATAATGCAGGTCGGGGATTCTCTCCCCCCTCCCCCGTCGACTTATAAAAAAATGCAGACATAATAGATAGGCATCACTATGGCCATCACTTTATATTCCACGAATGTCAGATTCTATTTTGGGTGAATACATACAAACGGAAAATAGCCTTGCAACTACTTATATTCTTTTGCTATTTATAAAGTAAACTACATATGTGAAAACGCTTTTCAGGTGCTGTGACCTTTGCTGCCTAGGCAGTGCAAATTTGGGATTTATTAAATGTTAAATTCATCATATACCTTTATTATTTGCTATAGACAAGGGGAACAGATAGAGTTAATATTTGTTTGCTCAATCATAGTTACAAAAATCCTTGCTTAGCAACCTTACTATTTGGCTCTATTTTCTCAGCTATTAACAAACAAAGAGTTATAGTTGTTTTCGTAATCATACATGGAACATGGGTATCCCAACTATTGAAGGTACCAGATTCCATAACCATGTATCGTCTGCTACTGAATTATTAGCTATCCGTGGTGTGGTCTACTTGACCTGATTCATCTCTTTGCGTTGGTGTTCTTGCTTTTCATTACTTCACATGTTCAGTTCATGTCCTTTTTGTGAGGCGCTTGTGGTTCAGACAATCTCCCGGTTGCAGCAAGCCCTGTTCCTGTATGTTCCTTTGATTTATTATTATTTATGCATTTTAACATCTATTTTTCATATTCTTTTTTCTTGCTTTGCCCTTCAGTACTTTGCTGATTGATTAAAGAAAAAATTCCCACTTAGGTGAAAGCTCTAGTTTGGTTTTGGTGAATTGATGAAACCCTAAGTGTTAACCTAGTTTATCTAAGTGATCATGAGATAGGTAGCACTAATCCAAGTGGTGAAGCAAATGAAGATCATATTGATGGTGGTGATGGCCATGGTGATCAAGTGCTCGGCTTGGAAAAGAAGAAAGAGAAAAACAAAAAGCTCAAGGCAAAGGTAAAACTTGATAGAAGCTTTTTGGTTTGGTAATCGAGACATTTAGCGAGTGTGATCACATTTAGGATCGATAGTCGTACTATTAAGAGGGGTGAAACTCGTATTGAAATACGGTTATCAAAGTGCCACTAGATGTTCTAACTCATTGCATATGCATTTAGATTCTAATGAGTGCTAACACCCTTGAAAATGTTTGTGAAAATATGCTAACCCATGAGCACAAGGTGATACACTTAGTGGTTGGCACATTTGAGCAAGGGTGGAGAAGTCCGTGAAGTGGAGGAGTTGGTTTTCACTATTTTACAGTGACCAGACTTAGGCCACGAAGTGATAGGACGCAGGCTTGGTGAGTCC